AAATTTTAGTCTTAACAAGTAGAGTAATATAGAATTATTGAAAGTTTTAGACAAAGTCTGCAACATATTTTAGTTTTTACTTCAATGGAAGACAATGGAGTCGAGAATCTAGCTGCGTCGAAAATTCTATTCTATCAGTTATAATAGAACTGTAATTATAATAAAATGTGTTTCATCAACAACAATATCAAGAACAACAGAAACAGGTAAGGAAGATGGCCATGTTTCGTCGTCAGATTCGGATGACATTAATGATAAATCACATGGTGAATTACAAAATGCTGATTGTCAGCTGGAGCATCAACCACTAGATCCAAGATGCGATGTTATTCGCCGTTATCGCACGGATTTAAATAAAGCTGTTAAAATGGCTATTCAAGAACGTAAACTGCACCGTCAGGAAATGCCATAGCAACAGCATCAACATTTCAACAGACAACATTTCGTTATAAAAGTAATGATTTTCCAGTAATGAATACTGATAAAATCAAGTCTAATCCATGGAATCTACAGAATAATAATAATGATCAGCAGAACATAATGAACTATTTACAGCAAATGAATAATGACATTAATCAAAATTGTAAACAATTAGTGACAAATTAAATATACAACAGAAAGAGATTGAAACTAACATAAAAAATACTCATTTGAATAAAAATACTGGTACAATCAACGTTGTCAACGATATCCAAAATGATGAATAAAGTGATTAAACCCCTCATTAATTTATTATCAGAAGAACAAGAGAAAGAACGAGTTTTAATGGCTTTGGACGATCATTGTGATGACTTACTCAAACAGCATGTGAGAATTACAGAAGATTTTGCCAGTATAAATACACGGAAATTAGTAAATCAGCAGCAATCAACGCCTATCATAACTACAATAAATAACACCAATGATAATATTAACAATGATGATGACGACAGTCAATTATTAGACTATAGTAAGTGAGAATTACTCTGCCAATGAACTCAAACGCACCAAGTTTTGTCAGTGTTGCAGTAGAAGTGCAACTGATGAAGACCCATAAGAGAATGACATATGGTAATTTTTCAGACTCAGTGATAAGAAAAATTTGTGTTTATTTGTATGAGTGGTTTTTTCGTTTTTCTCTTGAGTCCCTTTTGGATAACTGGGAACAATATGGCGAAATATCATGTAATTTGAAGAATAGACACCTAACAATACTAGTGAATTTTTGCCTGTACAATGTGGAAGGATGGAAAATTCGAACTTTAAAAGTTTTAGACTTGGTAAAAAAAAATATTCCAAGACTCGATTCTGAACTCCAGTCTGAAAAATGCTTTGACTCGCGACTCGACTCCAACTCGGAGAAAACTTAGACGCTTTCTCAAAACCAGATTTTTATTCAAAGCGATGACACTAACAGAAGTCTGTTTCAAAAATACTTTGTTTCACAAGGCTCGCCCATTTATTAGACAGCTCATCCTATTACTATTATTTAGTTGATTCGGTGAAAACCGTACTGATTCAATGCTTGATTCAAATCTTTGTCAAAAGTTTGAAACGACTGATAAACACTTCTTCGGACCCGACTGATAGCAGAATATACATCTGTATAATTAAATAGTTGATCTGCTAATGCTGAATCACTTTCGAACAGAGCGAAATGAGGATCAGGATTCTTTTCCGTTTCGAGTATCCGATTTAAAATGATGGCGAGCGCTCCACTAGGTAATTGACTACTACCCATATACGTTGTGACCGTAAACAAATTAAACCATCCACCTTCGGTTATAAAACCAGCAGGTCGTTGTTGCGGCTGTCGGAATTCTCGTGAGCCGTTATATCGAAAGTTAGCTGAGAGTATATCGCCAAGCAATAATTTTTCAAAATTACTGTAGGCCTTGGCTAACCGACTACGATAATCAGTTGAAAGTGCAATCGAAGACTGATTCGAACTTTGAAAGATAAGGCTATTATCATCAGTCTCTGTACTAAGACTCTTCACTTCCATGAGGACGTCGTAGATTTTTGTTTGTCAATAAGTAATAATCAAAATATTGTCCGCTGTATTTATTTAATTTCAAATTGGCGGCTATAAACGATACTGGACCACCATAGACATCTAAACGTTGAGGGGTTATATTAGTATACACACTAATTATCTTGTTGTCGAGTGAGAGCCGCATTTAGCTAGAGTTTGGGATAAGTACTGCAGATGAGCGGAAGTCCCCAGTCTCTGACTCCAACTTCAACGGAGGATTCGCAATCAAAAATGCTTTTTTCGTGGTCGGAGTTGAGGCTTAAAATTCTTGACTTCGATTCCTCAACTTACTATTTTTTTGTTAAAAAAAAGAATCTAACTCAAATTTCTCTTTTTCCTTGCTTATCCAGTAGGTTCTTCATGGCGAAATGAGATCATCGCAGCAGCACAAAAAAACACGTTTCCGTATGAAAATTTGATTCAAACACCAATTCCGCTGACGAACGAAACGGCGCTTTTCCACACAATAAAAGCTCGGAGTCTCCCGAAGTTACAATCGGGGTAAAAAAAAGTCGGCTCCGCTGTTTTCTCATGCTAATGCAATCAAGAAATTCTTTTCGAGAAATTTTCCCAGATGAATTGAAAATTGTTTTTTCTGTTTTGTGGTTCGCACGGAGAAAAAGTTTTTTTGTATATCCAGTTTTTGAAGAACGTTTAATTACTCCTTAAGGAAGGTTTCGCCGCTCGATCGAGCATGAGCTACAAATGGTCAAAATTAACCTATACTTTTTATTAGCTCATTCTATTCTGTGGTAAAACTGGTGCTATGAAAAAGTTTTTAGACCTCCCGGATCATTTTCCGTTGACTTATAGAATCCAGGGAAGACTGGCACGCGCGTAGCTGAATTTATATCCCATATTTTCGTCAATTCTCGGCAGAAAAGGAAAAAAAGAAAACTTAAAAACATTCCTGCGTCCCAGGTCAACTGTCATGCCACATTCGCGGAGCGATCGCGCTGTCGCTATAGCGATCGCTATGAACTCCCATCAGTCACGGCGTGATCGCTATAAAGTCATGCTTTCGCGACAAGATCTTAAGAAAGTCTTAATTTATTGAAAACTTTTTTCTAAGAGTCACGTCGCGATTTAACTATCACGGCGTGAACGCTATGTTTTCGCTATATCGCGACGCGATCGCTACTGAGTCGCGAAGTCGCGGCGGGATCTTGAAAAATTCTTATCTGGCGAGAAGAGCAGTTTTTAAGAGTCATGGCGCGACTGTTATGATCGCGAATTTTAACAGACGTACTCTGCTTAGTCGCGCCACGACTCTTGTTGTAACAAGCTTTTCTTCAAAAGACTTGCGTAGTCGCGTCGCGAGTCGCGATTTTTATCGCTGAGTTGCGGTCTAAGTAGAGGAGTTTTAAAACGTCGCGTCGCGAGTCTTGACTGTTCTGTGCTATACTTTATATTATCTTTCCGAACTTACATAACACACACATAGTGAGAAAAAGAAAGAACAGGCCACGTGTATGTGTGTTGTGCTCATGGTTACGTTGTTCTCTTCTTTTATCTTTAACGTATTGTATACACAACGTGTATGTTTTCTTTCAATAGTCATTTCTTCTTTGATATCGCAGTGTTAAGATCACTTTATCGTGTAGTCTATTGCAGCCATCCACTGCTGTTTTTAATTTTTTGTTTGAGTATATAAGTTTGAAATATTAAATAATATATAACTAAAATTGTAGTAAGTACACAGCAATTTCAGCGTGTGGAAGCAGAAAAAACTAAGCCCTTTCGTTTTTGCTACATTTGTTACAAAGTTGAGCCGTTTTTCTCCTGACAGTTTTGAAAGTCAAAAACTAGGTTACCTTTGTCAGAAGATGCACAAAATCTAAGAGATTCGCCTATATAGGTTCAATTAGCATGTGGACCGTGTTAAAAGATCTCAAAATAAATGCACTAAAGTGAGAAATGCACCAAATGGTTGATTATCGATCGTCTCTATGAGTTTCCTCGGTGTAATATCGCTTTGCTGTTGGTGACTTACAGGATGTAGCGAAGATCAGTTCGGTCCTGTTTGACGCACAGAGGATAGCGGCATAGTTCCAGAGCACCTCATTCACAGGATGCTAGATTACCTCTCGGCTCTAGCAACGAACT